CTAGCATCTTGCAATCCTTGGCAGGAGGCGAAATTGAGAAAGGTACTCGAATTCAGAAGAGCATTTTACGTCCAGCTGGCCTGGTATTTCTTTGCAATCAATCAATCTTTTTTCTAATAAAACTCTTTCAGCAATTGATATACTCTATCTTTTTGTGTCTTTGTGTATGTATTCCTCAAATAAAATTGTTGTAATTTCTCTTTAATTAGACCACTTGTTCAATAATCTGATCTGATCTTAAGGACTGTTAATCTAATTTTTCTGTTATATCCTTAATGTAGGTGGAAATTCGATCTGATCTGATGGATGCTCATATGTATGCATTCAAGAGGTTGGTATTTTTTTTCTAATTGCTCCCAGTTTATCTTACAAATTGATTGTGATTATCTTTTAATCAGTTCCTCCTTAATATATAACCAGGTCTGTTTTGCAAGATGTTTTAGATCGAAAGGATGCATTTCAAAGCTTAAAACAGGATGTGCTTCCATATCTTGTTCGGAGCCAGCTGGTTAGTCTAATAAGGCCCCTGAATACATTGATGTTCACTGCAAAATTTTTCTTAGATCTCTTAGTCTTTTATGATTGTTTTATGAGCATCAGCAATCAGAGGCTTTACCAAAAGGTGCACCACTAGTGGAAGAAAACGGAAATGAGAAGGTCAGCACCCAGAACAACCAAGCAATGGTGTCTCAAATACTTGCTAATGCATCTACCCCAAGCTTTCATGAATCCTATGAATTGGGTCCTAATGGTTCTGCTTCTGTTCGGAGAACACATAAATGCGGTGCATATATTGCCAGCAATAGCAAGTACTGTGTGCGGTTAAATTCCATACAAGCATTCATGGACATCAATCGAGATGTGAGTTTTTATGGTTCTTATTTGGGTCTGCTTTTCGGACACAATCTAGTTTCTCTTGTCAGTGCAGTTTTTGTTTGATCAGTTGTGCTAATTCTTTTAATATTTCAGGTGATTGGTGAGGCAAATCATCTGTCAGGGTATTCGTTCTCTGCCCATAATAACATCATACATCCATCAGCAGAGCTTGGATCAAAAACTACTGTGAGTCGACTTTGTAGACAAACTTATTTAGCTTTATAGTTGGTTGGACCTTTGGATGATGACTGTCTGTTACTTATGCTTTAACACCTGTTTTCCCTTTTAATGGCTTTAATTGGGAGGTTGCTATGCGTGCTAGATCTAAGGCCAGTTCTCTAACTGATGGTTGTAGGTTGGACCTCATTGTATGCTGGGAGAGGGTTCACAAATGGGTGATAAATGCAGTGTGAAAAGATCTGTTATTGGGCGTCACTGCCGGATAGGTTCCAATGTAAAGGTACATTTATTTGTCAATAGAAGGGTACTAAGTATATTTGAAAAGTGAATCTGAGAATCTGATGCCATCTGTATATGTATAATTCCTTGGGCTAATATTAGCTTTGTCATTTGCGAAGTTTGTAAAGTATATGAACTCCAAGCTTGGATATTTGTTTCACTTATTTCTAGAATTTGTTTTCATGCATCTACAGATTGTCAATTCAGTTGTAATGAATCACGTAACAATTGCTGATGGTTGTTCAATACAAGGTTCTGTGATTTGCAGCAATGTACAGCTTCAAGAGCGAGTTTCATTGAGAGATTGCCAGGTAATTCTTTCTTCCTCTCTCTTGCTCACACCCATACAACTCCACTTGCTAGCGGAGAATTTCATGGTTCATTGCAGCACTGTTTTGTTATGCTTCTTTCTAGGTTGGAGCGGGTTTCGTAGTCACTGCTGGGAGTGAGTACAAGGGAGAATCATTGGCTAGAAAAGAGAAATGAGTGAAATCACAAGTCGAAGGCTAGGAAAAGAAACTTTGATGCTAACTGCCTTGTTTAGTTTGCTGTAGTTTGTAGAGCATACCTATTGTTAACTGCTGCAGCAACTGAAATGGGCAAGAAAGAAGCTAAGGAATCCCAATATCAATGAGTTTGCCCATCAGCTTCCATTTTGTCATTTTATTTTATTTTTTGTGATTGGTTTGCTTGTATTTGATGAATTGGTGACCATCAGATATACTTTAATATGATCACAAAGGGATATATATACATTTGGTTTGTTGGCTTATGTATTGTTGTAATATATGAATTTATATTTAAAAATTAAGTGAAATAATGATAGGTGGTGTCAAATTAGAATACTAAGACGTCAAAAAGAAGCACAAAGCATTATAAAATCATGGATGTGAAATAATTTATTTCCTTATTATATTTTCTGTTCATTCATTATCAGTTTATCATACTACAGTTAAGCAGTAAAACGGGTACTCGAGCATAGGCCGCAGTCTTCTTCCCATTATATCCCATGCTGAAGAAATGCTTGATGCCCTGAAGTGATCTGAGAAGAAAACTTCTCTTTACATAGAGTTTCTCCTTGCCTCTAAGCACAAAATAATAATAGGAACCACAACTCTGTTCTTGTTTCTTTTAGCAGCCACACAATTTTAACACTTTTGCATCGACTGTTGATCATCATCTGTAAATATACCCAATATTGGTGTAATCTGCATCCAGCATCATCTTTGATTCCTTCACACTATTTGGACTGAAAACAGCTGGGAAGCCTTGTCTAGAGCAAATGCCAGTTACATGCTCAGAGGCCATGTCATAGAAAAAAGGGTATGGAGTTTAATTGCAGGCTTTTCAATTTTCACTAATTTCCTATGTCCAATCTGCTAATCAAAAAGTAGGAACTTTACAGATTTCTCAAAAATTCAAAAGAAAATACTCCCAGTGTCAGATCAATCTAGAATACTGATTTAAATACCAACTTTCCCCCCCTGAAGGCCTAATTTTACTAGTTCCTACATTATGTATTACCTTAAATTTCTACTCTGTTCTTGGGTTAGAAAAGAACTTCAAAATTATGAGATAAAATTCCCATCGAATTCATTCATCGTAATCTTCCTCATCTATTCTCCAACTGAAGTCGGCGAGTTGAGTAGGATCTATGCCCATCTTGTCAATCTCAGAGAAGGGCCAACTGGGTATTCTTCATGCTTAAATTCAGGGATGGTCTTCTTGATTGGACAAGGAGGGGCGGCAACTGGGATGATCGAGTACCCATTCTCATCCAACCCAACATTGAGGTCTAAACTTCGAACTGAGGCCTGCAAACTATTGTTAGCTTGAACACTCTCTTTTGACTCATCAAGCTCCCTCTCGTTATCCAGCCTGTGAAGGTCTAGATCATTGGTTTCTTGCTGGTAAGAAATGTTTGATTCATCTTCAAACTTTTCATGCGGTGGAACTCTCTCTCTTTCCACTGTTCTTCTCCCTCTGCCCTGACCATGATCTCTAACTCTGCCCCGACCATGATCTCTAACTCTGCCCCTTCCCCTTCCATTTCTACTTCTCTTATTGTTGCTAGTTGCGTCCTGCCATAAGAAAACAGTCAGGGAACATAAACTGGTGTGACACTTCACTTCTTTCATGCTAAGATTCAAAATATGAAACTGCATTTTGCCATTCTTTTTCCACAACCAAGCACAAGAAACAGAAAACACACTACTTACCACTCTGCTCCTCTTGGGCTTATTATCAGAGTCACTGTTGTCATCATCAACAACCTTCCTGCTAGAGTCAAAAGTATCAACAATATTATCCCTCATAAAATAACTATGGCTTATTCACCCATCAACACCAGCATAAAGTATTAGATTATTAAACAAACCTTCTTTTGCAAACAGAATGGTCCTCATCAGCAGCATCAGAACCACCAAGATCAGGAACCTT